TATATATATATATATATATATATATATATATATATATATATATATATATATATATATATATATATATATATATATATATATATATATATATATATATATATATATATATATATATATATATATATGTATATATATATGTATATATATATGCAAGTCTGCATCCATCCTTTTAACTTATTGCTGCATAATATGCATATAAAAGAATGCATGTTTTTGTGTGGCAGAGTTTATAAATATGGAACTAAAGAATCTCACAGCTGATGTCAATTCCAGTTATCTTCGGTAACTATTATAATATATATTCAGGAAGATTTGCGATCTAATGTGTCAATCAAGCGACTTTGCCATTGCTGACTTACAATTAACATATGATATCAACATATTTATTCTTCGTCTGACATCACGTCTGCTTGTCAATTAAGCCAACACGGCCACTCTAAAGTGAATGTGAATCTGTCCGTGACTGCTGGTGCTTGGTGTGAATTCGCGAATCAGCTACCTGTCAGTGGAACATGCATTCAAGGCCAACTTGTGAAGACAGAAGCTTGCGACATAATTAAATGGGACGAACAACATCAGCTTTACGCATGATCACAAGCGTACGCAAATGCGAGGTATCAACATACTAGAAGTTCAAGTTGCTTAATCGGCTGTCTATATTCAATGCGTAATGGCACCAGGACTGTCGATAATTATAAGAAAGAACGTCGAGTGCCTTGGCAACGCGCTATTTAAATTCGTTCTTGCTTGTACAAATATCAAATATAAAAAGTTGTTATTCTCACACCCGGTACGATAAAAATGTATTGGAAGCTGTGTTCATAGCCCTATGAAGTTGAATATATGACTAAATCTCTATTGGAGTTCTTCTTCATTCTACAAACTAGGCCTCATGTAAAACTTTGGTTTTGCTTTCCCGTAGCATCGTTTTGTGTGACCGGACACTTCTCCGTTCATGCCAATTTATAAACCACACAGAATACGAAAGTCTTGAATTCCGGTCTGAGACGGACGCAAAACTTTATTCCTGTAAGACCTTTTTCGTGCCCTATTTCGAACTGCGTTGAATTGCTGCGCAATCGACATATTGCGCAGGCAAAGTCCATAATGATAGGGTGCAAAAGAAAGGGATTCAAAATTGATCTTTCACTTTATATCAATTGTAGGCGACGGATGTTAGATGCCAAGCTTGATTCGCCATGCGGCATTCACTTCAATCTACCATTCAGGTCGTAAGTTTTATCTCAAAGAGTACACGGGCACATATATAGCCATAAATCTCGACTGTTGTACAGTGTTTGGCATGGCCTATTAAGTGACCGGATATGTACCCTAAATTTTCTCAATCTCTGGGGATCATTAGGTGCCTTTACTTTAGTTGAAGGTGGGACCATTGCTTACATTTGCATTGCCACCCCCGCCAACATTCGACACGGCGGTCGTGGCTTGGTTCCATAAACTACGCGCCATCATTTGACCGGCCATATTCTGGAAGTAGGATCCATCGCCCTGTTGGTCACCATTGGTGGCATTATTCCGTGCGTTTCTCTGGGCCTACAATTCAAAATATATTCCGGATAAGTTATCAGTATATCAGTATGCAAGTTGTGTGGTGCGCCGGGATGTGTTTCAGGTTCAGTAGCGATATACTCTCACTTGACAGATTATACTTCGATGAACTTTTGGTATGTCAGTCGTATTAGGTTTCAAGGCATACTCCAACGCATGTGACCTTGTAGTCAAAAACAAAAGACGGGGTGATCAGAAAACGAAGAATGCAAGCCGCATGGTTATATATTTAAAGCGGAGCACTGATATGCGACCTTCATATTTTAAACTCTATAACTAGACAAAGAAGTAAACAGTTGTGGCTGCTGTACTTGATTAGGCCATATACGCTGACCAATGTCCTTCCCAAACAACCTCGCCGCGACGAACTACCAAATCGAAGTAGAAAGCGCAAGTATTTAATTGCCACTCGAACGAACGAAAACGAAAGAAAAAACTTTATACCCGTGCCCAGCCGAGGATGATCGCTCAGATAAAATAAACAAGGATACGATCACAAACACCATACAACTTATTGACAGTACATACGAATGGATTCCACTATGGCATTTGAAATAGAAATTAAAAGAAGTGTACCTTGGTGTAGCCGTACACATTGGCTAAGTTGAGGAAAAGGGCCACGATGACGATAACCATGTACTGGAAGTGCAGACCAATAAGTGCCGTGAAGAGCAAAAAACCCCAGAGGCCCGTATATACATACAAACTCCACCAGAATAGGCTTGATTCCGCTGGAACGATCGTTGATGTATCCTGAAATTGCAAGTAAACAATACACATTATATGTTGAACTATATATGCATATATATATATATATATATATATATATATACATACACATACACATACACACATACATACATATAAATATAAAGATATATATAAATATATAAATACGTAAATATATATATATATATATATATAGAGAGAGAGTCAACAGTTTCGATAAACAATATCATGCTTCCAGAGAATGATCGGTCGGATGTGCGAAATCAACGAAATACGGCTTGTTTAATGGTTGAATTTCGTCGTCTTAGACCCAGAAATGTAATACATACAACAGAGACTATCACACCGAATTGTATCATTGTCCGACTAAAAATTCGCACCGAAAGGACATAGGATTTCTTTCTGAGCCTTCATCAAGCTCATTCTAGGTTTAGATAAAAGGCAGGAATCGATAGACATACCTTTCGCGACTCGTAGACCCAATTGCTGGTGCCGTCTTCACTGACTACATTCCACCATCGAAGACCAACTAACAGTCGACCGGAGATGTTCTTCACATACCTATGTAATAAGATGGCAGCACAGTCATCAGCACAGTGATGCAAAGAATCTACAAACTGCGCAGCGAAAATGCCTACAACAGGTTCGTTGGTTTGCGGATACGTTATACGCAAGATAACCAAATAAAAAACAAGCCAGCGAACACGCAATCAGCTCGCATGCTTAGCATAGTGCAGACCATTTATAGTCGTGAACGGTTGAGTTGATGAACTAGCTATGCACTGCAGAAAGGTAAAAATTCTGTCTCGTTTCTTGCATCGTTATTTTACCACAGAAACAATCACTCTGGTTCGTATTCAAAGACCGCATCATTTAGAAGGGTGTCCCATACCAGAAGTCGCAAGCCAGGCAGAGTACGATTAGAACGAAGTTGAGCACAAATGAACTGCTGAACCATGAGCAGAGGATGTAAGACACAATGGCGGCCGATCGAAATCCCATGTGGAACATTCCAACCACAGGATGCCTGCGAGTGAACCAAAGGTCGGTGACGAGAGATTGAACGTATTGCTTGTTGAAACACAAGTGCATTGAAAAAAGTGAGAGTGCTGGACGTAGTGTCTGGGGGACAAAGGCTACAATAAACATCTATTTGGTGTCAGATCGAATAAAAAAGGGGAAGTGATTACGCGAGTATGTGCGCAAAACCTGGCCAAATACAAATCTGCACGGGTGAGTTGATGTGACTTTACAACTAACATCTCGCGAGTATTTAGAACAGGTATTGTTCCAGAAATTGCGAGCAATATGGCCACTGATAGTATGTATAGATTCATAATTACCACAGAGCTGCGTAGTGCCCAAAATGATATACGAGATACTATAAATTCGACAAATGACAATATCAGGAGCGTGTGCGTTCATCTCGGGTCACACCTTCCCTGTTGTTGTGACTGTTCAACTCCAACTCCGCCCAAATTAGAACTTCGGCCCTCTTCGGCGAGAAGGTTCTGCCGATCCGTGGGCTGCAAACACCAATAAAGACATGAGACTGTTGCCGATGGCCCGAATCTGGAAGAATATACTAAGGCTATGCAACAATCGATCAACTACCAAGCTACTTTAACAAAACCCAACATACGGCGAATGATCGGACGCTTGCTCAAAAAATCCATATACAATAAAAACAAAATAATTCAATACAAGACATCAGATTTTCAAAGGAAACTGGTGTAAAGGAAATAGCACTTGATAAACCAAATACAAAGCATGTGACAACCAACTCGGTTCAAACAAAATTTACCAATAAAGAAATAGAAACAGAAATAGAAATAGAAATACTTATATATATATACATACACACACACACAAACATATATACATATATATATATCCATATATACACATACACACACACATATATATATATATACATACACACACATATATATATAATTTAAAACACACACACACTACATACATATATATATATATATATATATATATATATACATAAATATATAGACACATAAATTCATACATATACACATACATACATACATACATACATATACACATACATACATATATATATATATATATATGCATATTTATTAAAATATGCATATTTATATATATATATATACATATTTGCATGTATATAAGTATATACATATATATATATATATATACGTACATATATATATATATATATATATGTATATATATACATATATATATTGTATTCATTCTCACACATATTTATATATATATATAATAAAAACACACACACACACATACATATCTATTTATATGTATACATAAATATATAGACACATATATACATACATCTACACATACATACATACATA